CCGGGCTGATTTGGCTGTCTCCTCTGCTACAATAAAACTTGCTTTCACAACAGCTTCACTTTGTGATTTTGCTCTGGTGAAAAACATCTGCTGAAATGTCAGATTCTTCTTTAGCTCTTCTACTTTCTGTAGTTTCTGCATTTAGGTTTTTCAGCTTATCCTGATGTTTTGTCTCGTAGTGCCGTCTTAAATTAGATTCCTTAATTACAGCCACATTAGCTCCACTAATAAGACACACAGGTTTACCGGCAATGTTTGTAAACATATATTCAGTCTCCCACCGGTGCTTAAAGGCTCTGTTTTCAGAATCAACTTTTCTCTTCGCCATTGTAAGGGGCTAGCTTCGCAATTCGCTAGCTTCGGGAATGTTCCCAGCTAGCCTAGCATTCAGCAAGGGATCTGTAGTTTGTGTGTTATTAGTGCCTCATATCGGCAGGCCATGCATAACAATAATAATAAGTCTATATAAAATGATAAATGTCCGTGGGCCAGATGTGGCCCGTGGGCCTTGAGTTTGACGCTTATGCTATTTGCATTTACAGCACTTTGTGAACTGTGGTTTTATGTTAAAGTGCTTTATAAATAAAGATGCTATGCTATGCTATGCTATGCTATGCTATGCTATGCTATGCTATGCTATGCTATGCTATGCTATGCTATGCTATGCCAGCCGCTTGGTTATGGCATTCCCTTTATGCCTTGCCTGCTAGCATCTGGACCCTGTGCTGGATTGTCTCAGGGGCATCTTTACACAGCCTGCACCTGGAGTCTTACCTAGTGTGATAGACCCTAGCCTCTATGGATCTTGTGCTGAGAGCTTGTTCCTGTGCTGCCATGATTAGTGCCTCTGTGCTGTCTTTCAGTCCAGCTTTGTCCAGCCACTGGTAGGACTTTTGGATATCAGCCACTTCCACTCTCTGCCGGTGGTACATACCGTGCAGGGGCCTGTCCTTCCATGATGGTTCCTCCTCTTTCTTGGGTTTCTGTTGGCTCAAGTTGTCACTGACCAGGCAGTCAGTTTGAGCCATCTTCCTAATATAGTTCGTTGTCTAATCCTGGACTGTGGTGCTGACACTCACCAGTCTCTGACCTCCTTCCTTCCACTTACCATACAGCCTAAGGGTGCTGGACTTGGGGTGAAACTCTCCACGCATGGTCAGGAGCTTCCTGATCTTGATGATAGGCTTCTAACCTCCGTTCTTACCTAACGGCCTCTTCAGGTACTTGTAACTGTCCTCTATGTCTGCATTGTTGCTTTCTGGTAGTTCAATCCCCTCAGTTCTGACTACCTTCCCTCTCTTTGTTATCATCCGACTACACTTTTCCAGCCCGAACAACATTCCGATGTGATTGTTGTATATCCTGGTGGTTTGGATCAGTGAATCGATGTCTCGGTCACTCTTGGCATTAGCTTGATGTTATCCATGTAGAGGAGGTGGCTGACAATTGCTCCATTCCATAGTCAGTATCCATAGCCAATCTTATCAATGATCTCACTGATGGGTTCAGAACAGTAGTGAGGACAGAGCATCTCCTTGGTAGATCCACTTGATGATGGCTTGTGCTGTGGGCTTGAAGTTGAACTCTAGCATTGTCTGCCACATCCCCATTAAGTTCCTGATGAAGGCCCTTAGGGTCATGTTGATCTTGTACAGTTCTAAGTATTACAGGATCCAGGTGTGGGGCATCAAGTCATGGGCCTTCTTGTAATCAATTCGGCAGTGCACAGGTTGGTCAGCCTAGTCCACCAACCTAGCTGGTGTTTTGCGCCTCTGGTATTCTTGCCAATTCCTTTCTGTGCCCCACTCATGTATTGACCCATGTGACTGTTCATCTTAGCCACTATGATGCCTGACAGGAGCTTACATGTGGTACTGAGGAGGTTATTGGCCGGTAATTGGACGTCACCGATACCATCTGGGGGCTCTTGAGGATCAGAACTGTCCGGCCTTCAGTTAGCCATTCTGGGTGTCTCTCATTGACTAGCAGCTGGTTCATCTCCGCTGCCAGACGCTCGTGGAGTGCAGTCAGCTTCTTCAGCCAGTAGGCGTGAACCATGTCAGGGCCTGGTTCTGTCCAATTCTTCATACTGGCGACCTTTGCTGTGGTCTGTTCTTAGATCTACTAGCCAATGAGCATTGCTGTTTTGGGTTGTGTCCTTCTCCCATATGCTCTTCCAGTATTGCTCTGTCTTCCAGCCTTGTTGTTGCTATTCTTACGATAGCACAGTTGTCCCCTTTGGAACTGTATGTTGGGGGTTCAACGCGAAGGTGTGTATCCAGTAAGGGTCAGCAGGCTAGGCACCCATGCTAACCAAGCCTATCTCGGAATATTTGCGATATATTTAACTGAAGCCATAACTGTTATGGCTGTTAACTGAAGCCATAACAGCTTGGACTTCACCAGGTCAGGTGTTGAGGAACCTGGACTGTCAGGAGTAATGAGAAATGGACCAAGGTAGTAGATACTTGTTAACGAATAAGTTCAGCTGGTTTGGTGAGTGACGGAGGGAAGTGACTGACCATTGAGAGCATTTACAGCTACCAGAACCTCACAAGTTGTTGCACCAAATCTCTGTCAATCAGACTCTGCTTGGCACCTGCCTTCAAAAGCACTTGTAATGAATAGGTCCTGGTCTTGCCACACAGGGTGGTAAGGAGTTGCATACGGGGACCCTCGGCATCTGGAGAGGCACTGCCCACTTAGTATCCCTGTCACGGCCCACAGTTACTGGTAGGCACTGTCTTTTGGCCAGACACGTCAAGAGGCCAGAAAATGGCCCAACAAACCACAATACATACACAACTGCTCGTCGAACCTCCTCCATCATTTCTCTGATGTCAACCTTGTGCATCCCAGTTGCATTGGCTCAGGGGGAGGCATAGCAAATGCCAACAAGGAAGACTGGGGTCCTTGAAGATCAGGTCTCTTCAGCCTTCAGTTAGCCATTCTGGGTGTCTCTCATCGACTAGCAGCTGTTTTATCTGTGCTGTCAGACACTCATGGAGCTAGTCAGAAAGGTCAGAGGAGCAAAACGAATGGAGAAGTGCCCACCCGGTCTTGTAACCTCTAACCCTCTTCTCTCTCTTTCATGCAACCGATTGTCAATCCTGATTGCAAAATCTGCTAGGCTTTCAAAACACCTGGGTTCATCCCGTGCAGCGAGCTCATCCTTTTAAAGGGGAGCACAAAGCGTTTTCTTACCCCCCCCCCCTGTCTCTGTGCCCTTAACATGAAAATTAATGGAGAACTCGGCTACAGACCGGGTACTGTCAAAGGCCGAGCAACTGATGGGCTGCTTCATCTGTGCACAAAGGATGGTGGAATAAAACCTTAAAATCTTACAGGAACTGTGCATAAGTAAGTATTTCTAAAGAATGTCACCAGGAGGTAAGATCTGACCCATTACAAGTCAGGTTCCTGAAAGGAACCAACAATTATTTATTCCCTTGAATTAACATTGGGAAAGGCCCTGGAAGAATGCTGGAATAGCAGAGCAGAATGAAGAAGAAGCCTCTGCACTGGCCCACCTCCCCTGTAAATGGTTCAGGAGAGGGGAGCGCAGAGAAGCGGAAGCTAAGAATGTGGGTGCACTAGCCAGGGACAGGGTTGCAGGAGCAACTCGTTGCAAAAAGGTTTCTCGGATGGTCAACAGGGTGTTGTTCACCCTGCCTGCCTATTGCTCGGACTCACAGAACTGTCTAACTAGACTAGACGCCTACCTTGACCTTGGCCTGTAGTCTCCTTCTCCATGGAGGGTACTGCTCCTTGTGGCTGTTCAACTTGTAGCCAAGATTCTCACTGTTCATTGCTGCCGTGGTGTAGATCAGCTTGCTAGTTTCGGTAACCAGCTATGGAGGATCCAGGTTTCAAGCTTCGCCATGAATCTGTCTTTCACTCAACAATCCTTCTTCTATCGCACATGGGCTTGGTACCCAATCTCAGGTGGGGGTAATGGTATCTCCCCCCTGACCTGTCGTCCTGGCTCCCCTTTTCTATAGCATGTGTGTTGTACCTCTTCAATTTCTAGCCATGAGAGCGGTCCCTTCTTCCGAATGTTGGAACACTGAGCTACTAGTTGTTTTGCCATCAATGTGGATGCTGGGTACTGGAGATTCCATAAGAATCTTAATCATATTCGTGTAACCCCTTCCACTGGGGTTACTTGTGTAGAGCATTCCAACAGTGCACTATTTTTGTCTCTTGCCCACCGATGCCTTCCTGTTCCTGTAGCCCACTTCTCATCTGGGTGCCCTGGTTTCTTAACACCTGATGCGGACCTTGTTAATCCGGGCGATGTCCGAGCAAGTATGGCTTCATATTTATCTCCTTCGCTCATGTCTGCGGTAGGCTTGGTTAGCATGGGGGTCTAGCCTAGGACTCTTATTGGATACAGTCACTCCAGGCGGAAATCGAACTTGCGACTCCCGTTCCAAAGCTGTGCAGTCATACCGTTACACTTGCTGCTTCTTAATTAATGCTTATTTAAATAATTAGTTACTGCTAAACGTTCCTCCAGGTGTTTCTTTTTCGTGCCACTTAAGCATGATTTGAACTTCTGCAGGAAATCTACATCATAGTTTATATAGTGAACAGAAATTCCTTTTATCCCTACACGGCAACCTTCCGCACCATTCAAGTCATCATGGTAGACAGTAACATGACATGGAGTTACATTCCTTGGGAGGTGCAAGTCAGGTTACATTGAAGGTTGCAGCGTAGTTAAAATTGGACTACAGTTATGTGTAAGTTGTGATGCAATCTGACACAGATGTATAATTCATGTGTTACTCTTCTAACCTTGTGTTGCTCTTATCAGTCTCATCAGAAAGACATTTCACTGCTCTTAAATTCAAGATGAGCTAATACATTTGTTGTTGTAGCCCACTGGACTGACTGAGTCCTGTCTTTCCAGATCCTATCTCTGCAGGCAGAGGAGGCACAGAAGGAGAGCCAAGTGGAGGAGTATGAGAGGGAGCTTTCCAGAGCCAGATGGAGGCTGAGGAAGCTAAGAGAAGAGGTGAAACAGGCCAAGAGGAAAGTGGAAGAGGCTGGAGAGCGGAACAGTCCTCTACAAGACTCGATCAGACAGTCTTATGAAGAGATCCTGCAGGTACAACGATCACTACAAGGATGTTTGAGTGCATCTGTCCATAAAGTGTTCATATCAATGATTTCTATTTTATTAATATCACTTATCCCCTAAAGCTTTGAAAAATGGACCATTTTTTTTTCATTCAGCCATTTTCATCTGTCCATGACTGCACTAAGAAAGTGAATGAAGTAAATAACTATTCCCTTTTTTGGTAGGAATATAGTTTGTTTTTCTGATTTCAGAGAAACACAAAAACATTTTGCATTTAATTATCTCAAATAAAATATGTGTTGTAAAAAGAGGAAAACATGTATCTGGTTTCTTAAGTTTAACAATACCAGCTTTTCATGTTCACCCCACTCCTGTGTGTGTTTCTTGCAGGAGGAGCACACCCTGTACTCTCTGTCAGGAGGTGCAGTCACTCCAGAAAGCCATCTGGATGAATCAACATCTCCTGCAGACACCACTGAAGATAATCTGCCGTCTCTGAGGCCATGGGGAAGGAGCCAATCACTGCCTGCCTATGCTGACCTCATAATGGTAAATGGCAATGATGATGGCGAGTACACCTTACTGAATATGAATGACAATTTTCAAGTGTGATCTAAAACAATACTGACGATTCCTAGAAGTGTGAGAACAGGCCTTAGTCGCTGTTAAGAACAGAAGGTTTAGAAACTATCATCTCCACATTTATTCACTATGTTCTGAAAGCAGATTTCTCCAGTGTTCCATAAAGGAACTACTAGCAGACAAACTGGACACTGCGGAAAGAAAGCCCATGGCATGGATAGCTTTTTTCATGTATTTGGAAAATAAATATTTAGTCTTCTTTGACAAATCGATGTCGTTAGTCCAACAAAACTATAATGAATTGAATATTCTTGTATGGGAAATACACCTCTGGTCACAGAAGCTACTGTTTTTACAGATTTACATGGCTGCCTCTAATACACGTTATACAGCTGTGACCTATGTTTCTCTCTGGACACCATCTGTCAGCTGTTTCAGATCATCTGCTCTACGGCTTATTAGTCCAGTCCTGGACAGTTGTTTGATACACTTCAAATAATTAATTAATTTTTTTTATCTCTTTCCATACCCTCAAGGATCTACAGTCTTTTATTCTGTGGAACTTAGAGAGATTCTTAGGCATGATAACATGACACACTTCACCAGCAAAAAGAACAGCAGATCCTGAAAGTTTAAATACGACATATTTTACCTGCCGCTCCCTAAATCTTTGCAGGGAGCCATTTGCAGTGGTGTAATAACCAGAGACCAAAGAGAGTTAGTGACACTCAGTGATTTCAAGCATCTACGGGTGTGAAAAACACTGGGAGAGGCAGGTCCCACATAAACTTTTCTCAGCTTTGAGACTTAGAGCTTTTTATTGTCATTGTGCAGTTTCTTGCACAGCGAAACTGGGTAGCTGGACCACAAAGTTGCAAAAGTAAAGAAGAGAAAACAATATACAGCGAGGGAAAAAAATGCAATATATATGTGTACATATATGTGAGTGAACTATATACATGGTATATGGGATGTTAATTCCACTGAGACCAAAATATTGTAGAGACTGAGATATTGCACATAGTTGATTAACAGCAGCTTCAGAGCGGTTGTGGTTTGAAAAATAATAGCATCATATAAAAGCTGCATTTTCTATTTACTTATCCATGTCTAAGATTTTAATTTGTTTCATGATCTGAAACATGAAAGTTTTACACATATTCATAAATATTGCATTAGTCAAGATAAAAATCTGTCAAAAGACTGTACAGAATGTCCTCTTTTGTCTTTGTTACAGCAAAATGAAATAATAATAATAATAATAATAATAATAATAATAATAAAAACTGTGGGACCAGTGTTTCCCAACCACTGTGCCACGGCACAATTACACTCTCCTCCACTAGAGGGCAGTAAAACTACCTGCTCTAATTAAATGGGTTGCCAACTGCCAGTAAAACAGAAGAAGGCGAAGAAGAAATTACATAATAGTCATGCTGTGAGACGACACAGGGCGTAATAGCAATAGATAAATATTTGAAAAGAAAAAGTAGTCAGTCTGGCCTGGGCCCTGGATAATCCAATTCTGCTATACCTGGTGCGCGGGCAAAAATTATCAACATGCTTTTTGTGACATTTTTGTTTGGTGGTGGGCCGTGTGATTTTTCTAATGTCAAATATGTGCCCATGGCTCCAAAAAAAAATAGCACACGGCAACTTGATTTACCAAAGTTTCTTTTGTGAAAATAAGAAATAAGAGTGAGGCCTTCAAAATGCCAAAAAAGAGGAAAAAATAGAATGAAATCTGTGCAACACAAGCTACACGAGGGAGACACAGACGACCAGATCTCACCTGCTAACAGCATCATGGAAGATAATGGCAAGCAAGCAGAGGCTAGTGGAGAACAATCAGAGAACTAAATAAATTCAGAAAAGTCAACTGTGCGTAGCTGAGTGGAATCAGAGAAGATATAAGTAAAACAAACAAGAAAGTGGAAGAGGCTGAAGAAAGAATCATGAAACCCGAATACAGCTTAATGAGGAAGCAGTAACAGAGATGATGAAAAAAATCATCCTAAAGGGACGATCCAGAAGAGAAAACATTAGAATATGTGGCATTAAAGAAGGATTGTAGGAGGAGTCTCCATCAGTAGTGGATTTGCCTGACTCCACTGAGCTACAGGTGGAAAGAGCACACTGCACTCTGGTGCCAAAGCCACCACCAAATATGGCGCCACGGTCCATAGTTGTAAAGATGGCCAACTTCAGATTGAACGAAACAACACTGAAAGCAGCCTGGCAGAAACATGGATTTGGATAGATTTGAAACAGGATTAACCTAGATCAGCGGTCTCCAACCTTTTTTGCGCCACAGACCGGTTTATGCCCGACATTATTTTCATGGACCGGCCTTTAAGGTGTCGCGGATAAATACAACAAAATAAAACTGGTACCGGTACCGAAAAAAAGAAGATTTATTCATAACACACGTGGAAAGACCCAGGAAAACCGAGTTAACGATAAAAACGATAACAAAATCACGCTGAAAACTGATAAAAACCCTGAAAACCAAACATTTCACACCTGAGCCTCAACTCTCGCGGCCCGGTACCAAACGACTCACGGACCGGTACCGGTCCGAGGCCCGGGGGTTGGGGACCGCTGCCCTAGATCATGATTATGCAGCTTGGGTTTTAAGTTGGCGAAGGGAATATGCAGAGGAGACCCGCCCTAACTACAAGGAACAAGAGAAATGAAAAAGAATGGGTTTTACAAATGTATTTTCATCATCTCATAATTCTGGATGAAGATGAGGAGTTGCCATCCTTTTATCAAGCATTTTGAAAAAACATTTGCGATAAGAGATAAGGAGGGGTGATTTATTTCAATGAGGGAAAACACTGAGGGGAATTCAATTACGCTGCTAAATGCGTATGCACCACCTGGTAGCGATATCCATTTCTTCAAGAAAATTGAATTCGAGCATACTGAAAGATCCCCACATTAAAGAGCAGAGCCACTTTTATTTGGAAACTAATGACAATGGTGACGTGCGCCCGATATTCCATGGGATGAAAAAAGCAGCTCTAAAAGGAAGAATCAGTATCAAGAATCAAGTAAACAGCTGCTGGACATGTTTGTGAGGGAAGAAAAACAAATATAGAGGCATTATTTCTGGCGTATACAATGGGCTTAAAAACATGGAAATACATTCAACTCTATATATTAACGTAAAGTGGGAAATGGAGGGAGGAAAAATGGACAACATTATGGACATATCGATGGAAATGTAGTATAGCAAGATATTTTATTACCCCTTACCAAATATCTTGCTGTGAGGGCAATTCACTGGGGAAATACTAAAGCAAATCATAGTCATGTCTTCTGGGATTGTCCTGGTATTAAAACCTAGTGGCAGGAAATACACAATGCAATACAACTTTAGGAAGTCATCTGCCTTTGGAGAGTAAAGTTAAATCTTTTGGACTAATGCCTGAAGGATGACTAAAGAGAGACAAATATCTGTTTATTATTTTGTTGGTGGCAGCCAAGAGAGCCATTACAAAAAATGGCTCTCACAGAAAGCCCAACTCTGAGCATGTGGCTCACAGTAGACATTTACAGGATGGAGAGAATGACAGCAGACGCCAGTTATAAGAGGAACCTGTTTGCTTGATGCTGGAAGAAATGGATGGACTGTCTGATACTACACAGACCGGACATTGACCTTGGATTGTACTAGTCTCGAATCGGATTTGGTGTAATAACAATTTCATGTCCATTAATGTTCCTGTTTTTGTTTTAGGGGTTTTTGTTTGTTTTGTTTTTTTTGTGGGTCATACATGTAAAAAAAACAAAACAGGACATTTAGGCTTTTACTTTGTAACTACTGATTAAAATGAAAGTGCACAGTATATTGATTGCTGAATTTCAATAAAAAGTCAATAACAAACACTCTTCTGTGTTATATTGCACTGTGGCAAGTGCTGTATAATGATCAATTTATACAGCACTTTTCTGCTCTTTCTGGGGTGACTGTAGCTCCGGAGGCAGAACAGATCATCTATTAATTTGAACATTGGTGGTTCAATCCCTGGCTGCTCCAGTCATGCCAAATATCCCCTTTCAAGATACTAACCCGAAGTTGATCACTAACACATCCATCGGAATGTAAATGTGTGTGGATGTTAAAAAGAAAAGAAAAAAGTGCTTGTGTGATTGAGGCAAGTTTTATAAAGCACTTTGACTGAAGAGAAGAAAAGTGCTATATAAGAACCAGTCCGTTTCCCATTTCACTCATTTACGCACACATTCATACTGCCATTTGTGCACTTACACTATATCCAATCCAGTGGCTGTTTGGCATGAATTATCTTCTCCAGGGCATTTCCACATTTGGACTGGAGGAGCCAAGGTGCTGAATATGAGACATTTTAAAAACACTGCTTAACAAAGTTATTAGACCATAAAAAGATATTTATACAATCAAAACAAAAAGCACAAATATTTTAGAAATCTATCAAAAATGAATTTCAATTTAAATTCAAATTTAAAACTAGTATCTGTATTTAGCAGGGAAATATAGATATGAATTCACGTTTCCTCTGGGGAATCAAAAGTGAATCAAGCTCACGCATGTGGACTATTAGTGTGTGATCTGGAGCTGTTTGTGATCTTTTTTCTTCAGTGTATTATTCTATGTCTTTCATATTTATGCTACAGTTTTCACAGGTTTTTATCATGGAGAATATATATATATGTGTCTTGCGTTTTCTTTTCTGTGACATTTTAGTAACTATCTCTCTCTCTGTGCCTCCAACACCTCCAGGGGGGCAGTGGTTCACCTTTCTGCAATAATCTAGTCGGTACCAGAGAAGAAGATGACAGTGGGACCAGCTCACCAAAGGTAGCTTCGCTCTTACAGAACATGTCGTGTCATGCATAGCACGAATTATGTGCAAAACATTTTAGGCTAAAATCCATCCAAAAACTTGACATTGTAATTAGTGCTGACTTTATTGATATGAAAGGAGTTAAAATTAATTTAAAGACCTCTAACCGGTGTAACTTGGCAGCACCAGCTGTCACTAGTCAAAGGCATCTTCCTTAGTTTTGGATAGAGCCATGGTGTTGTGACCTCTGGTTGTCACGCGTCCACAGATGGATAGGTCTGACATAGAGGATGGCCTGGAGGAAGGGGACCTCAACGCCGAAGGGGAAAACGAAAGAGACCAGGAAGAGTTCACTACGAACCCCAACCCCCTCAGCCAGCTGGACTTCTACCAAGCCAACCCCTTCGCCCGCTGTCAATGTGACCGTATGTAACAAATTCAGAGGCTGAGCTACTATTGCTGTCGTGGATTTCAGACTTTGGCACTCTTTACTTTGAAAGAGGTGACACGCATTGCTGAATTGGAGTGGGTATCCGTTCACTTTGCATTGCAGTACTGAAAAGTTAAGAAAAGTTGCATGTCTCGAACATCAACCTGGCCCCCAGACAGTTAAATCTGAATGAATGCTGTGCCAATGCATCTTTCCAAGCAAATCACTCAAGCGTGTGACTTTGTTTGCTTGGGTAGTTTGGCATCAATTTGAAGAAGTGGTTGATCATTGCAATACCTAATCTTCCTGTTAGAATATGAACATACTCAAGCGCTACGGCTACACCCAAAAGTGATGTAATTGAATTGTTTGAGGGTTAAGTGATTTGGCCTTAAGGTGGTAATTGGAACTGGACATGAACTATGGCAGCCAGAGGACTGGGAATCAGAACTGTTAAAATCCAGCCTCTGGGTTGGTGGAGACTACAGCTTTTTTTCTGTCAGAAGGGACAACTTAATTCATGCACAAGTAGAACTTTTCCCACTAGGACATCGGGCAGCTCTGATCCTGGGGCTGTGTATGTGGTTCAAACTCTGGAGTAGGAGAGGACTAGAGTAGGGGCTCAGAAAATAAACCAACCCAAGCTGGGCATCAAAACTCCTTCAACTCTAGGGACCAGAGGGAGCTAGGCTGTGACATCGTGGGATAAATGATGATTTTTTTCTTTGGCAAACTAATCATATATGCTTTTGTTACCTTTACTTTTTGTTGCAGTGGTATTAATAAAGTACAGTGATTTCATTTCTTTTACACATGATTTATAGATGACCTCTTCAATGAAGACCTATTCCTTAAAACAGACTCATCTGGTGAGTTATAATAGACCACTAATCTAAACAGAACTTCACTTGACATAAAGAGGCTCTTGTTCATTTTGTTGTTTTGTTACTCAACTTCAATACTGTTCTTAGCAAAACTTACAAGTATAAACTCTTTAAATATTCTGATTTTCAGATGGCTTTGGTTCTGACCCTTTCAAAGGCAGCGACCCCTTCGCAGCAGATATTTTGTTTCCGTTGACGAATACTGCCACTGGTGAGAGCACAGGAAATGCCGGTGACGAAGCAGACACCAGTCTGTCTTGTGTTGAAAACAAAGCTTCAACGGGAACTCAGTGCTTTGAGTCAGAATTCCCAGATGAAGACAGTGACATAGAGATTAGCTACAGTCGAGAGGACCTGGACACCATTGCTATGGAAGATGATTCTCATGGATTTAAACCCATTCAGAGTTCGTCAGAGGAGCTGGGGCCAGAGCCTATCCGAGGGTGGCGTTCCCAGGGACAGTATTCTGTAGAATCTGACCCTAATGGGTATGAGCTCGATCTTGGTGCTGTCTCCCCGCCCTCCGACATAGAAGAACATAGTCTGGGATCTCTGGCTGGAGAGGCTATTACTCAGTCATCAGCAGGATTAGAGCAAGGTAATTTATATTTTAGTCACACGCCCAGTTATCAGACATGACAGTTTTTCAGTTTTACTTTTTATTACTTTCATTTACAGTATCTCACAAAAGTGAGTACACCCCTCACATTTTTGTAAATACTTTGTTATATCTTTTTATGGCACAACATTGAAGATATGGCACTTTGATACAATGTAAAGTAGTCAGTGTACATAACAGTGTAAATTTGCTGTCCCCTCAAAATAACTCAACACACAGCCACAAACTGCTGACAACAAAAGTGAGTACACCCCTAAGTGAAAATGTCCAATTTGTGCCCAATTAGCCATTTCCCTCCCTGGTGTCATGTGACTTGTTAGTGTTACAAGGTCTCAGGTACAAATGGGTAGAAGGTGTGTTGTCGCAAATGTGACCAAATTATTCAGTGGTGCAACTAAAAAAAATCCTAGGTCTCACCGGTGTGACCAACGTTTCGAGTAAATAAAATAAAATAAAATTCTCAGCAACTCTGAAAATCTCCGTGTGGTCAACAACTGACACACATTATGCGCCTATCGTGGTCTAAACCAATCAGAGATAGTCAGGGGCGGGACCGCTGATTGGTAGTTGTTCTTCGTTTGTACGTTTGAAAGTGCAGGCAGATAGAGAGAGGTCAGTAGCTCGAATAAAGCGATATCGATTCATTAAATCCTGAATCAACTTTTAAATATTGTGATATCCTAGAACTCAGGAACCACGGAGACCTTGTTGACCTCATGCGCCACACACACTGACACCACTCTTCAACAACTTTTGCCCCCTGGTGGACAAATCCTTGTTACAACATAACAAATATAAATGTATTTTGCCAGAAACGCCAGAATCTCAGGTTAAAGCTCACAAAACTATTTCAACAAACAGCAAATGAGGGCAGGAAAACGGATTCTGCACAAAGAAGTAAACATAGAGCCGCCGCATCAGAATCAGCTTTCTCTTTCTCGGCTTTCTCACCCGAGGGCACGGGTGAAAGCCGACAGCTCACTGATTCTGATGCGTCCGGTCCGCGCTGTGTTTACGTCTTTTTTGTGCGAGATTCTGAGCTGCAGGTTTTATCTCTCTCCAACCAAAATTCACTGAACCAGCAACAAAAGAAGATCCAAACTACGCTTCACATTTGAAAAACATCGTCATTTACATTTTTCATTCGTTTATTACCCGCCGGTCTACCGTGGTTTACAGCACTGTTGGCCGCTGTCTTTTTTTTTATTGACTTAAATGGCCGCGAACTAGAAAGCCTAATTTTTGCTGTTCAATACTGAATTTTATTTTTTTAATTAAAAATTTTGCAATATTGCAGAATATTTTTAAGTTTATCTGCTATAAAAAGCCAGGCCAGGAAAATCTCCTTCATGTTTTTCTGTGTTTTATCCTCAGTTACTTTGACACAAAGGCTCACACCTCTGATGAAGTCTCACATGTATCAGTACTGATAAATGATCAGAATTAGAATATTTCTGACTGTCTGAGGCTAAATCGGGACCTTGTGAATTGGAATTGAATGGATAATAGAAATCAGTGATGATACGCAGCCCTAGTGAGCAGCCTAGGCCCGACAGAAGTGGATGTAGCTGTGGGTAATGAGAAAAGATGAAAAGAACGATTGATAACTTTTTTGTTAAGTTAAGGCCTGATCTGTCTGAAATTCATAGCCAGCTCTGACACGGTGCCATCAACCTCTGAACGCTGAAAAAGCACAGTGTATCCAGAAAACACATTATATGCTGCAATAAATGCACTGCCCAAGTGTCCCCTCTCTCCATTGCCTTTCAGTGGCAGGCAGCAGCAAACAGGTCATCAGAGGAGGCTGATGTGATGATGAAGTTTTACATTACCTATGGTATTGCCAAAGAGTGCCAAAGCACTTTAAGCACAAGCAGTTTTTCAGTAACTTATCTTGTAGAAATGTGCTCCAAATAAAGAACTTTGTGTTGACGAGATTTTTAGTTAATCATTTACACATTAATAGTGTCTGTGTGGGCAGCAATTCCAAGACAAACTTATTTGGCTCAGATGGTGTCAACGGTGTGTAGCGGCAACCAGGTGGAGTACAAATACAAGTGTGTCTTGCCTACAGTCAAGCATGGTGGTGGGATGTTTGGGGCTGGATGAGTGCTGCTGGCACTACACTTAATTGAGGGAACCATCCTTAAATGGAAGGTGGAGGAGTGAAAAGTCTCTAACAACCACCAGATCCATGATGTCATCATGGAGGAGTGGAAGAGGATTCCCGTTAACAGAGTTAAGGCAGTGTTGGAGAATAATGGTGGCCACAAAATACTGACACTTTGGGCACAGTTTGGACATTTTCACTTAGGGGCATACTCACTTTTGTTGCCAGCAGTTTAGACATTAATGGTTGTATGTTGAGTTATTTTGAGGGGACAGCAAATTTATACTGTGACACTGACTACTTTACACTTTATCAAAGTGTCATATCATCAGTATTGTTCCATGAAAGGATTATACTAAAATATTTACAAAAATGTGTCTCACTTTGGTGAGATACTGTGCATGTGCATATGCTGATGCTGGGAGTCAGTTTCCTGCTTAAGTGGTGTCTACTTTAATTGCTGACCTAGGAACACATTTGCATTACACAAAAAAGTTTCAGACTGAATTTCTTTTCTAAAACGGCAGCCGTCAGTGCTGCTCCTCAGCCTCCTACGCCTGTGGGATGAATGTGAAAATCCTATGTGGCTTTGAGGTGACGGTAACCAGGATTCAAACTCATCTGAGATTTTTAGTAGATGCACCTATACTATAAATTAGAACATTCTAGATAACGTCCTTTTTGAACTATCACATTTAGAAGATTTTCAGAAAACTTGACCTCTGACCTTGACCTTGAGGTCGAGGTCACCGGGATACAAACTTTAGAGAATTTTAGATGCCGATGGTTTCAGTTTGAAAATCCTACATCGCCTCGTTCTCGAGTTATCGCATTCACAAACTTGGGTGTCCACAGGGCCCACTCAGAGGCCTTTAGGGGAAAAATATGCCCCCTATTGTTTTATATGTTGCATGTGATGAAAATTTAAATTAGTATCACAAATCTTTTTTCTGTGAAAATGGACTGACAGCATTTCTGGACATTGACTACGTTCGATTTTAGATGTGCAATTTTGAGCAGTATAATTGTCTTTATAAACTTTAAACCTTTGAATATCGTATTATTTCAGACTCTTTAAGCTTAACGTCTTAAAATTGTGGTCTTGTAACTGCGTCATAATTCTATTCTTAACTACTCACTGTATATTTCTGCTAGGTGAGTGTCTTGGTTTGACTCAAGCTGTTGGCGAACCTGTCCTGTTGGAGCCAGGTTGGACAGGCAACAGAGAGGAAACGTTGCCCTGTGATGTCACTTACAGTCAGCAAACAGAACAGGTTAGGAACATCAAAGAAGAAATCCAAATCCCTGCTGTTCCACAGAACTCACTAGAGTCCCAGAACATTTTCACTCAGCCTGACTCACATCAGAACAGCCTTGAGTTGAACTATGAACCAACCAGTCAGTCTTCCTTTGACCCATATGGCTTTAAACTCAGCCCAGAGCATTCTAGTCACACTCTTTTAGACCCTGATGAAGATGAGTTGAGTCCAGAACCTGCTGATGATGATCTGACCTTTGACCCTGAACCCTGCTCTTCTCAACATCAGCTGAACTTTGATGCCTATGGGTTTGACATTACCTCCTCCCAGATGACACGGGACTTTGACCCTTATGGCTTTAAGCTGAGCCCTCAAGAAGAGAACCAGGAAGTATTGGATCCCTGTGGCCATGACAACCAGGATGCAATAGACCGTTGTACCAATGACAACAATGAGCAAAGAAAGCTCTCAAGCTATAATAACCCAGAAATACTGAAACCTCATACCCATGAAAACCAAGAAGTGCTTGAAAATGATAGCCACAATAACCAGGAATTTCTAGATTTGTGTAATAATGGAAACCAAGAAGTGCTGGAACCATCTAGCCTCGAAAACAGGGAGGTGGTTAACCATAAAAACCAAGTCCTGGAACTCTGTAGTCACAACAATCAAGAAGTTGTGGACCTTTGTCGGAATAATAGCAGTGAGCAATTACTTGAACCTTGTGACTGTCATAACCAAGAAGTGCTGGAACCTCACAGCTTTGGCAGTCAGGATGTCCTGGACTTCTCCTATCCTAAAAATCAGGAAGTGTTAGATTTAGATAGCCATGGTAACCAGGAAGTTTTGGATTTTAATAGCAAGGAAAACCAGGGCGTTCTAGTTTCAGGTAGCTACAATAAGCAGGAACTTCAGGAAAATCAGGAGTTACCTGACCAGGAGGGGTTGGACTTGTTGAGTACAGACATTTTGCCTGAAGCAAACAACATCCAGTGCATTCTGGAACCAGAACAGGATGGCAGTTCTGTTAATGACAGCTCAGATAGTGATGTGGCATCCGAAAATATGCTGGGACTGCAGCTCAGTAACCCCAGTGTCTGCACCTCGAATACCACAAATACTAGTACTTTAAACATGGCCATCAGTGGCATGTCTGCCAGCCAGGACCTTAATTCGTCTGCTGCCCTGATCCACCACAACCTTTTAGAAGGTGATCTCGGTTCAGTGTTTGGGGCTGGAGGATACATTGGATGTCCTGATGTAGCTGATGACCTAGAGCCATTGCAGAGAAGGCAGACAAACCCAGTACCAGAGCCAGTACGACCAGTTAGGCCTCCTCGACCATCTCTCAGGGTAAGTTGGACGTTATTTTTCTTAACTTATTATAGCATTAAATCAATGGCCAGTTAGTTTGATATATCCTGTGAAATCCTAATTTCAGGTTTACTGTCCTTTATTTATTTTTTGCTTTTATTTGGCCCATGATTGTCGACATTTTGTAGAACTTGGAGATTAAGAATAAATACCCAACATTTAATATTAATATAATTCAAGCCGTCATTAATGTGTTAGGGTTAGGGATTTATTTTTTAAATATGTTATGTGTTAAATTTGAACTTTGAGTTGAAATAATTACAACTGTAAATATTTCTCAAGAGTAGCACCAGGTATTTAGTCATTTTAGCAAAGTTAGAAGTAGAATAGCATCCATTCACATTTTTCTGATCTAATACTTTGTGACTATCTGCTAATACACATCAATGTTTCAGTGTTAATAAGCTGTTTTCCTGTGAGACTGGCCATAACTGCTGTATATCTGGCTCCATTTGAACACCTAACTTAATCCTAAGAGAATACATTTACTGAATTGTTGGTATTTATTTGTGAAATAATAAATGAGAATCGGATAAATACATGAAACAAATATTTTTGGATTGATTGATCCAATTTAACTGTCAGACTATGAATTGGCTCCCCAATATTCCATCCAGGTTTTGAACCAATATTTGATCCAAATGTCGCATCATTGCATCCCTAGCTAGAATTATAGTTGTTCTGTTAGTCAGCTATTCCATTAAACTGCTCCAGAGTCCGAAACCTTTCAAACTTCTTACAACGTTGAGATGAAAAACATTTCTTGTAGGGGTTGGACAATATGCCAAAAGTTTCCATCCAACAGCCAGAAATTGTTGATATATTTATTGTTGGTTTGTGGTGCCATGCATACATGTTTTTCTTTGTACTGAACATTAATTCTGGTTTCTTTGGCTAATGGTTTGCACCACTACTAAAGTGCCTGCTGAACAGCCCTGAACCTATCTTAAAGAAAATATTTTTTCATTTTGTTTGAAGTTCAAATGATTATTTAAAATAACTGTTAAAAGTCAGCGTGCCTCTCAAACTGCTTTGTGCATAGAAAATTATATTTTAAAAAAAACAAAACATCTACTTAAAAACATCTACTTTCATGTGTTTTAGGCCAAGGACAAGGCCCAGTCCCAGACTCAGGTCATCGATTTAAAGTGATCTCTCACCATGAAACATTCAAGTGAGGTTTACTGTGTCAGCACGGTTCCTGTGATGACAACAAGGCAAGAAGTGAAGATGATAAGGAATAAAGTACGACAAAGGGAAATGCAGTGGAGGAAAAATGACTAAAGAGCCCATTCTGGTGTTAATTATCACAGTAAATTAGTTCAGGTTAATCAGAGGAGAAACAATGGAAGGCAAGATGAAAAAACTACCAGGAACCAAATGATAAAAAAGATTTCCTGATTATTATATTAAGAAACATGATTTTATCCAGTTTTTTTATTTACATCTGTCAAGGTTGCAAACGACTGTCTGACCTACTATCTTGTCTTTTTATGATTTGATGAACTGAAGAAGGTTTTGACGGACCTGACTGGTCTGAAGTGCAAATAATGTCCATGTTTGTGATGTGACATACAGTAAATATTAGGAGGACATAGGTTACAAGACTTCAAATAGATAAACTGTATATAAATGATGCAATGTAATCTGCTGTTGTGGTTTTGAGATTATCTATCCAATTAGTAGTTTAGATCTAAGTTGCATATGAACTGTAGAGAGTTTATAGTCGGATTTACCAATGAGCGCATATCCACGCTCACAACAGTGTTTTCACACGTCATTTAAGAGGCTCCTTAAAGAGAAGCAGTGGCTCACTGCCATTCTAGGCTGGATTCTTCAGTTTCACCAGTGACAAAGCACGACTGATGGCTGTGGTCAGGTGTGTGCTTTGTTACATGTGTAGCACGCTCAGTAGTGGTGCGATGCCACCCATGTTTATAATTGGACTGTAACTGAAAAGATGGCCACTTCATTCTTTGTTCCAATTTCATACTGCACACTAATGCTGAAAATAAAAACTATGCAGGGATTTTGGTTGTGTACTGTTAGTTAGGTAGTTACAGACGTAACTACCTAACTAACAGCGCAGGCTGCCAATTCTTTCTTTTGTTTGGTAGCAACAAATAAAAAAGCAGCAAAGCTGTGTCCACCCAGGAAATGTGGGTGTGGTTTGGTGAGCAATGAAAGTCAGCGACATTGTCTGACTTCAAGTGGCGATGGGCAAAAAGCCCAGGATGAACTTTTCTCATGTTGGAGGCCACTGGAGTGACTGACATTTGTAAATGCATGAGGTCACCTAGGCAACCACAGCCTGGAGCGTCTACTAGTGATCAAAGCGATGCATGCGGGGAGCGCTGGGGTGGGGACACAACACCAAAAGACAGATAGTTACATCTGAGTGGAAGACTATTGCCTTCTACCGTTGTCATCAGTAGTAAGCTCTTGTATTTTTGTCTCTCCCTCGTAATGTAATTAATTTTACTACTGCTGATATTTAAAGACACCAGTACAGAAGTACTGTATGTAACTTTCAGAAAGCAGTTTTTTCTGTCCAGCAGCTTTTTATAGCACTGCCAGTGAAACTTTATGAAGTAATTAAGATGTGTTTTCATTTGTGAATGGCGCACACAAAGTCGAGCAGATTTACAGTGGTAAGACAGATCTGAGCATTTCATTGGTGTAAACATCTTTGCTTAGGAATGGTCTGAAGCGTGGAACCAGGACACAGCGAGGGTAAATGTGGAGTGGGTCTGGCACCGGTGCCGCTGTTACGCTGCCCATCCGGCAGTTTCTTCCACACAGGTCTGATAAGTAGTCAGAACAAACAGTGACGCCACAGCCAGAGTACAAAGCAGAAATCTGTGAGCTGATCATTTTCTGTAGGTTAATCACTCCCAGAGACCTCTTTGACACTGTTATATCATTTTCAGGTTATAATTAGATATCTAATTATATGTAAAACACTGTTATTCCTTTTGATTGTACCCACACAAGGTCACACGCACAACTGCTTTTTAACAAGTACATGATATTTACTGGTATGGTAGCAGAGCATCAGTGTAAAGTTCATTAGGCAGTTCAGAAATGGCACATAGCGCTTTATTCCTCTGAGCACCCGAAGCCTGTTCTACTGCAAGCGTCATTTAACCATTTGCACTCACATTCACACAAGCACTTTCTTCTACACCTGAGAGCTTTTCTCTAACAGTCACATACACATTGAACTTGGGGTTCAGTGTTTTGCAGACTGGAGGATGAAGTCATCAGTCTTCCTCCTGAGCCAACCTGAAGTACAATTCCAAAAAGTTTGCATGCTGTGTAAAATTTAAATAAAACAGAATTGGCTCGTCTTTATTCCTGATAGAACACAGAAAGCATATCAAATGTTTAAACGGAGAAAACATATCATTTTAAGAGAAATATGTAATATTTTAATTTGATGGCAGCAGCACATCTCAGAAACAGGGTCATGCTTGCCACTCTGTAGACTTTGGGAGAGGAATGCTGTCCCATTCTTGTCTCATAGAGATATTTTTCACTTTATGATGCTCCACCAGCTGGTAACAGCAAGGACTCTTCTACTATGAAGGCTTTCCATGAAACACATGCCATCTGGATGGGAGTATATGCTGCTCTAAAACTGCCAACTCCAGAGGCACTGATGCACTGCCACACCATCAGAAACGCAGGTTTTTGAACTGAGCACTGACAGCAAGTCGGATAGTCTAGAAGACGCAGTGTCCATGTTTTCTGATTTCAAATTAAAATTTCTTCACTTTGCTTCAGTCCATTTTAAATGAGCTTTGGTCCAGAGATGGTGGCACTGTGGTGTGTGTGGACAACACAGTGAGCTGTGTTCACAGACAGTGATGCTGGAAGTGTTCCTAAGCCCACGCACTGATTTCATAACAGGATCGTGTCTGCTTGAGGACCTGAAGATCAGCTGCATCTAATGTTGATTTTCAGCCTGGTCCCTCATGCAGAGATTTCTCCAGATTCTCTGAATCTTCTGAGCTTATGACTTTGGATGATGAGATATTCACAGTCTTTGCAACTATTTGTTGAGGAACATTATTCTGAAATTGCTCTACAATGTTGTTGAAGCACTTTTTTGCAGATCTCTCTCTCAGATGTTGTTTTCCCCCCAGTCCTGTTACTGACCTGTCATCAGTTAGTCTAATTACGTATAAAATGTTTCTTTTTTGTGTCACTTACTTTTTCAGCCTTTTGCCGCCCCATCCCAGCTTCTTTGAAACATGCTGCTGCCATCAAATTCAAACTGATTGTTTTTACATGGTAGTACAAATATCATGAGTGTGAGTCTACCTTTACATGGCACACTCAGCAGGCACTGATTGAACCTTTCAGTTCACACAAAGCTTCAGTTCAGCCTACCTCACTCTTTTACCATGATTTCATGACAGCAGCTACACCCATTAAAAGCAAGTATTCCATGAGTTTCATATTTGTAGATATGTACATGAACTCGCATTTTCTTTTGATTGTACAATGGTACACATCTTATAGCAAAGACATTAAAGTGAAGTCCCACATTCCACCTGCTTCAAACGAGATGCTTCCACTGAATAACTAGAATGGTTCCATTGGAAATGGAAGAAAACACAAGCTGGTTCACGAGTTAACATCAAGGGTCTAATCATTTTAAACAGAACCAGTTAAAGAGCCAGAGCTAATTTAATATAAAAGAGTCAGTGAGACCCCGAAGACCAGCCATCGTCACCTTACCTTATATTCAAAGTTCTTACTTCCAGTTAAAGGATTACTGATGTGTCCCAAAAGTGCATCCTGTTCATCTGGACATTTTCAGTGGGAGAAACTTTTTGTCACTCATCCAGGTGACTTCTTCAGTCTCAGCTGACTGCAGGTTTCCCCAATCTTATAAACAGTACATTTGCACAATGAGTGAAACTAGCACCACTGAAGGAACAGTGGGCTGGGAGATCAGTTCCTGGATCATTAATATGCAAATTGTCATGACCACCGATCAGTGGCCATGAGTACCATTGACAGAGAGTTGGGGAATGGCATGCATCGAGACATTATTGACGTGCGTTTTGCAGTTTTCCTATGCATTTTGGTCTTTTGTCCATGGAAACCATGTGGGTGCAGCATAATGTGAGGGTACACACCTTTAAAGGATATTTAGATCTAATGTGTGTTTCTGTATCATTTAGTATCAAGTTATTGGCAAAATCTAAAATTGACAAATCTACTAGCGTGAATCACAACGCTTCATATACAAGCACAGTGCTCCATGTATTTGCTTTGTTTTCAAATGTACAATCATGTGTAAAGAAAACAGAACATTTAGAAGACTTATTTTGTTCATTTGTTGCATTTTGGAACATAATTAGTTACATACACAACACTAAAACAACAGTTTGCACACTGCCAGCCTGTTACACACAGAAACTATGACGTATTGAGCATGGTCTGCTGCAGGAAACTGGATTATCTTTTTCAGACAGCAGGCTAAAACTATGCTGTCTCAAGCTAATAGACTGTAAACCTAAGCTGCCCGCTGGAAGCTCAGCTTCAACAGCAGTTTCCTGTCTGACTGCCGCTCCCTGACTCATCCACCAGTGGCTGTACTGGCGGATGAGAGTGCATTGTACCATGATGTGCTTACAGTTAAGCATATTCCATATAAAGTAGTCTCACACATACACAAGCATGCATCATTACAACCAGTAACATGTGATTTAAGATGGTGCTGCATTGTATCTTATGTGATAAAAAGCAGGTTTGCTCAAAATGTCAGACTTTTTGTGGTGTAATCAAATAGCAAATCTGGAGCTCCACAGTGTGCCAGCTGTTAATTTGTTATCCATTCATCTTTGGCCCAGAACCTGCCCTAATTCTTGTGTGGATGTGTGAAGATTTTTGTAGTTATGCATATAAACTTACCTCAAATGTTAGAAACATATGTGTGTCACAGCTACCCATGTCAAATAAAAATGAAAGTCAGTTTCTGAGTTTGAAAAATTGAATGATGCAGTCAAAATAATGTCGTCCTCACAATGTGAAAACCTAAAAAGAAGAATATCTGCAAACATGAGGGTATCGTTCTAAAATGCATTTGTGAATAACAGTAGTGATAAATCTGAAGGTGGTAGAAGCTTTGCTGACCACTTTGAACAGTTTTCTGGAGAATGGATCTCAGTTCTGATAGTCTCATGGAGATACATATTAATATGGACTATCTGTCAATAACATAATTTAGCAAGAAACATTTATCAGTAGAGTTTGCGTATCTTGAGTATCTGCAGGTGGAGCCGTCGTCCTGCTTAAACCATGTTTTGTTTTTTACTCTCCCAATAAGCTACGACATCTTTCATTAAAAATTGCTACTTTATTGCTACTAAATTATCCACATGTCAGGAGGAAGTCTCAGCAGACTGCCACTCTCCAGGGCTAAAGTGTGTTTTAATCGATTGCCAAGGTAACATCCAAAAAAAGCAAAAATGCATCACTGTACATAGACACATGTAGCGCACACTAAAATGACAAGGTCTGCAATCAGTTTTATTATATACACAGATAGCTGTCCATATCTCTGATTTAAAATATCTATATATTCATTTTACCAGCTGCTTTTATTATCCACACAGGATAAGAATATTACCCAAAGCATTGGCAGAGCTCTTCTACTGTTCAGAGAGGCAGACATCAAGTTCCCTGTGGAGCTTTTCATTCTTTGCAGCGTTGAATGACGTGTTTTCTACGATGTATATGTGTGTGCTCCAAAGCCATGGTCGAAGGACAGCATATTCAGAAGAAATTGTGCGTTTTGTCATGATGCAGCCATGGTTTATTGTGATGATGATTCATTTATGTCTAATGTACAATTTGGTGTCTTAAATGTGTGATGAAAAAACTAAGAAATAAAAGTCATCTGCAAGCCATAATGTGGTCTGCTTTTCCATCTCTATTGTCTGTTCCTGCTACCAATACAAAGCGAGAACGATCAGATGACCCCTGTGAGTCAGCACTTGGCAATGGTGGGAAAAAGGAACTCCCTTTTTAACAGGAGGAAACCTCCAGAAAGACCGGGCTCTGGGAAGGGCAGTCATGAGCCAGCACCAGTTGTGGGGTAAAGAGGTGCGTAGTGAAAGGATAAGATTGGATTGATAAAGAATTTGGAGAAGATGTTTTATTAATTGTGGTTTGTAAGAAAGAATTGTTTCATGTTTGTAACATTTTTACCTTCAGATATTCATAAATCAAAGACTATGTGTCACAATTATCCTCTTTTTTCCTGTTCTGAGGCAATTCACAGACAATTTCAAAGACAAGGATGGAGCGCTTCTGTTCAGCCAGGTAGGGAGCCAGTTCTGCTGTAGCGCCTTTGAATCTGGCCTCAATGTTACATAGTGAGAGCTGAAAAAAGGATCTGTAACTGCATCTACTGACACATGGCTCCAGCATAGGAAGCGCGGGATTCCTGGTGCTGGGGCAGGCCAGCTGGGCCCAAGACCAGTCTTTGTTTACTGGAAATGAGTACAATGGATTCAGGAAGGCCCACCAGCAGTGGCTGTTGGCAGAAGTATGAAATTGATGTTTCTGCTACATTTGGGATCTGAATGATCGATGAAAACAACAAGATGAGATAAAAGTAGTAAAGTAATCTTCAGCTTTTATTTAACACTATTTATATACAAATAGAATAATCCATGGACCTTTTGTCTCCCCCCACTCGTGAGAAAATAGCTGCTAAATAATCCATTGTGTTCACTAACCACCAGTGGTGAATTATAAGACCTGGACATTCAAATTTGAAACATAATGAGTCAAAAAGAAGAAAAAGGCAAAAGATTTGGCTCAGACACACAAATATGTTGGAAAGTCTTCCTAAGTAACCCCTGACAAAACAGCACATCAAGCTGATGCAGATATGACATCAAAACGAACTTCACAGCTTTAATTACCAGCTGTTCGTCCATCTTCTTCTACTTAACCATTTCAGGGTCACAGTGGGCAAGAGCCTAACCAAGGTGTAAGGTTTTGCAAGGAGAAATGAGAGACAGACAACTATTCACACGTATGGGCAATTTAGATTCACCAAACTTAACCCCAATAACTGCATGTCTTTAAACTGTGGGAGGAAGCCAGAGTACCCAGAGAGAACCCACGCAGACATGACGTGAAGGGACAGGCTCCAGCCAGATGCTGGATTTAAACCCAGGACCCAGGTGCTAACCACCCCACCACTGTGCTGCACATTTACCAAAATATTTGTCAAACTGTTTGCTTTTTCTATAATCTTGAACCATTTAAACATTTTTTACAAATGAAGATTACAGATAAACTGTGATTGTGACTTAATGATATATTTCAGTTACTTTAGAAAAAGAAATGTTGTTTAATGAAAATTACTCTACAGCCAATGAGCTCCATGCAAACGCATGGGTTGGACGCAGGTTCCGCCAGAAGACAAGCTAATAAATGATGCCGTACTTCAGGCATGAACATTCTAATAATCCAGTCATTTAGACACAAATCACGACTTTGCTGTAGCAGACTGGTTTTGGTTACTGTTTTCCTGAAAGGACAAACACTGGTGAATGTGAAAGACCAAATTCTTGATGAAGTCTTTCACTTTCAGTGTCAACTAAATAAAGAACTTGAATATGAAATACAGAAATAATACCCATAATACAGTGTAAACTTGGTTTCAGAGAGCAAACTTAACCCAAGCACTTTACACTGGTGCTGATGACTGAGACATTTGCAGAGTTTTGTTTCTCTGGCGACAGCAGAGGACGGTCACCGTGACGATGACGATGAGGACTGTTAACATGATGAAGCCTACACCAACCCATGCTCCAACACTCAAATCTGCAGAAAGAACGAGGGTCACTGTTAAATAGACTGGTTCTACCTGAGCACTCAAAGTGCTTTATACAACATGCCTCATTCACACACACACACACACACATTCATATAAGCACTCTTTTCTTTGTGTAAGTGCTTTCTATCTAATATTCACACTCAGATGAATGCATCAAGAACAACTGTAGCTCAGGAGGTAGAGCAGGTCATATACTAATCAGAAGGCTGGTGGTTCCATCCAGTCTACAAGTATCCTTGGGCAAGATACTAACCCCAAGCTGCTGTCCGATGCATCTATTGGAGTATGAATGTGTGTGAGTCTTAGCTAGGAAGTGCTGAAAAGCATAGAAGTGAATGTGGCACTTTGAGTGGTCTGGGAGAGTAGAAAAGCACTTTATATAAATCAGTCCATTATCGTGCCCGAGGATAGTTTGGTATGCATGCTGGAGCAGCCAGGGATCAAACCCTGAACCTTCTAATTACTACATGACCCGCTCTACCCCGCAGGAAATGTAGACGATCAGTGTTACCACCTACATGCTCCTTATTGTTTAAGACTGCAGATGTTGATGATAGTTACTGAATTCTGTGACAACAATATTCTGAGTGACATTAAACTTAAATCACATCCTGTCAGCCAGTCCCTTATGTCTGAGAAAGTTGTCACAGTGGATGACTCCACATATTTGGCACAGATGTTCAGTGCCCTCCTATTTATACAGCACTCGGAGTACACTAGCTTATGACCCACTGAGGCTGGGTGTGCCTCCTCCTAATCTTGAGCTGTTGATTTTTCACATAAGGCTCCAAGTGTTAACCACGATACTATGAAGCCAATGGAATCAAATCAAATCTGACAAAATACCAAATTAAGGTGTCTTAATTTCCAGCAGGGGGCAGCACTCTCCCTCTAATGCTGATATACACTGGTTGTTTATTACTCTGGTCTTGAGTACTTAATGAGGAAGAAGCTGCAATTGAAACAACTAATAACAAATTTCAGTATGTATTCACCAAAGCTGAAATAGTTTACAGAGTTGCATGTAGAATATGTGTACCTTGCAGGATGTCCTGGGATCTTTCTGTGCACTGCTGCATGCTCCAGGATCCCTGCTGAGTGGCTTTGGGTCTGGATTTGATGAACGTTGCCACCATGAAGCAGTAACTCTCTCCTTTATCCAGCCCCGGTATCACTTTCATACTTGAGTTTGATATCTCATCTCTCTAAGGGGTAACAGCAGGACAGATTACTGTCATTCATCTGTAAACATTTAACCAACTTACCAAGCAGACATTTGGATGTTTGGGTCAAGTCTTCATTTGACTGATCGTAAGACCAGGCCCAGCAGAAAACAGCTAGCCTACACACACAAATGCCACATTGTTGCTCTTTATTTCAAATTCTTAGAGCTGCAGTTCTGGATTTTTAGAAGATGTCCAATTACATTGGTAATACTGACCAGTGTTGAATGAAACTAGCCATAGGCCCTAAATCTAAAGCCCCAGATGAACTTGTTACTAACTAACTAACTAACTAACTAACTAACTAACTAACTAACTAACTAACTAACTAACTAACCACTGTGTGGGTGCCTATAGAATGGGCTGACCACACTAAGCAGAGAGGGACCCATAGTAAGGCCCATTGCTAGCCCATATTCTTCGTGTGAGCAAGCCTAACGTGGAGCACTAACAGAATTACATGAAAAAGGTGTAATTTTTTCAGTTTAACAACATAATTTGCAGCTCATTTCACTTTTAGCGTTAACATCAGATTACCTTTCCTGTGCTTCCAGACTTGTAGTAGCGGATCTTATAATTAAGATCTTTTTTGAAAATGTCTCTGATGCTGAGCTGCTTCCCACGATCATAAATGGAGGTTAAAGGATCAGTGATGTTCACTATTACTCTTCTGTCATCCAATGGCGCCACAGTGAAACTCACAGCACTGATGTTACCTGGGGACAGGACCAACCAACAGTTATGCTGAGACTGCCTGCAAAGGTTTATTCATGCGCTAAAAGTCAGTTCAGTTAGTTTACAACATCATTACTAGAGCGAGTGAGTTTTTGAGTGGATGGGTGCTCTACTAAACATTATGCAGAATGCCTGATTGGTGCAGGTATGGTAGCCTTGACATTATGGGCTCAGCCACAACAGGGATCAGGATGCATGGATAACCTGATCAGGTCCAGGCTTTGGTTGGCATTAAGCTGTGAAGGCAAAGGGTGTGTGTGTGTGTGTGTGTGTGCGTGTGCGTGTGCGTGTGTGTGTGTGTGTGTGTCATATATAACCTACTCTCTCTATAGGGATTGAACCTGGAAGATTGAGTGTGAGGGAGTTCATAGTCCATGTCCATGATTTCTGTTTGAACATCAGCAAAGTAGGTCCTGTGAAATAGGGACACAAAGAATACATATGCTTTGGAGGCACATTCATCTGCACTTATATAACACATTACGAGTCAAACGTTTGGACACACCTTCTCATTTAGTCATTTTTCTTTATTTTCATGACTATTTACATTGTAGATTCTCACTGAAGGCATCAAAACTATGAATGAACACATATAGAGTTATGTAGTAAACAAAGTGTGAAACAACTCAAAAAATGTATTTTAAATTCTTCAAAGTAGCTGCCCTTTGCCTTGATTACTGCTTCGCACACGCTTGTCATTCTGTCGATGAGCTTCGTAAGGTCGTCACCTGAAATGGTTTTCCAACAGGCTTGAAGGAGGAGATGATGAGAACTTGTTGACTTCATTCTGCCAACCTGATTTCTGCACAACACAACTGATGGTCCCAATCCCATAAAAACGGCAAGAAATTCCACAAATTACTTCTGACAAGTCACACCTGTGAAGCGAAACCATTTCAGGTGACTACATCATGAAGCTCACCGAGAGAAGGCCGAGGGTTTGCAGCTCTGTCAACAGGGTATTTATCAATGTTTTTTTTCTTGCTACATAATTCCATATATGTTGCTTCATATGATTTAATGTCTTCAATTTGTAAAGTAAAGATAAAGAAAAACAATTAAATGAGAAGGTGTGTCCAAACGTTTGACTGGTAGTGTACATATAACTTTTCTCGAGTAAAATCACAGCGCACAAATATTGCTGACAATAAGAAAAAAATCAAAAGTAAAAGTATAAAGTAAGCTCGATGTAAACCTACCAGATGTGTTTAAGGGTGATGGCAGTGTTCTTACCTATCCGAGGCCTTGAGGGACTGAGTCAGGTCACATTCTGATGCTGATATTTGGATACAATTAGGACTTTCTTCCCAGTCAGCATCTTCACTGCAAGTCACACGGCAGTTACTGTCATTCTGACATGCGCTTATGAAAACAGTTTTTAAAACTCAATTGAAATGTTCCGCTTGACATGTCTGGATTGTGTTGTTTTTTGGCAAGCAAATATTTCCTCCTGTACACATAGTCATGATATATGCATCAATACATCGAGGTTAATCAGTTATTTATTTGAATCACTCTATCACTGTGACTGCCTGCCTGTAGGTGTGAACTCTTTCTTTAGGTTCTAGGTGTTCTTCCTCGATGACAGATGCAGGACACTTGAAATAGTGTCCTGCATTTAGTCTTCCCAGCTCATGGGGCTCTCTGGCTCTCCCTCGCCACCTTGACTTCCCATTGAACCCCATGAGTTGTATGATCTTGTTAAAGATGTTCATTAGAAACTAACACAGTGTTGTGTCAATTTAGGACCAAAGCTGGGAGGCTCGTAAAGAATTGACCAGGTAATCCACGGGACAACTGCTGCCTAAGCGGAAACCGTTAGCTGTCCCACATGTGTCAGGAGTATTGGAATGGCTGAGACGCATTTTCTCTCAAACTTAAATGAGCTGTGGGCCACTGCGGGCACTGTCATCTCATTGGAGGGCCACTTTAGTGTTCAAGTAGTACAAAAAACCCCAAACAAACAAGAAAACACTCACAAATATTTCCAATTTTTTTTTTTTTATTTCAAATATTGTATAACAAGGTAAAACTGCAAATGTTTTTCCCCTCACTCTTAACTAACCGAAGCCTTTCATTGAACTACCAAATAAACACACTGGTACTCTCTCTCTGGCCAGGAGACGTGGCAGCACTTCTGCTATCATTTGCTCCTTACATTGCACTAAAATCTATTTTATCTTCTTCTCCTATACTAAAAGAATCTGAATGCAAATCTACACGCTGCCAATGGTGAGATGCCAAAATGTGTTTCATTGTTCTTGTAACAGTGACAATAAAGATCTATTCTATTCTTCTATAATTTTGTTCATATTTAACAAAATAAAAATGCAGACGTACGTTTGTACTCTCTGCTCATATTGCTTTCATATTAAATAATTTCTTGCATTTTAAAGAACTTAGTTTAACTTTGCACTGAACAACAAACAAATCCTCCCTAAAAAAGGAACTTCAAGAGCCAAATTGCGTTATATTTCTTCATGTCAATATATGGGCCAGAAGTAGGGGTGACGTGGGCTGCAAGTGGCTCTATGGCTTTCAAACCCCAAAACATACTGCGCCAACAATTGGTCCGCCCCAAAGATCTGGTCCCACAGCTCAAACAGAGTAATATGGTGTACACCAAACCTGTTCAAAGGGCCACAGGCCCAGAAGCAACCCAACGAGCCCTGCCTGTGGCAGAAACGCAGAGTACAACAAATAAACCACACAGCTGGCGAGAAGATTTCAGCTTTTGTTGAGGACAGTGGTAATGAAGCATGTCTGTATGCTTGTAAATGGGCTGGTTCTTATATAGCGCTTTTCCACTCTCACTGAGCACTCAAAGCGCTTTACACAACTTGTGCACTCACCCAGTCACACAAGCACTTTACCTAAGGTTTTAGTGCTTGTATAACTCCGATGGATGCATCGGAGGGCAACATGGGGTTAATATCTTGCCCAAGGATATTTGGTATGTAGACTGGAGGAGCCTGGGATCGAACCACCACCCTTCCGGTGAGTAGATGACCCACAGCCACCCCTTGTGACAGACGGGGCTTCATCCATGGCAGGAAAAGTGAGTGGTTTGGCTGTTGCACCTCAAACCTTCATTGCATTGTGCAGCAGATGGTGTTGTGCGCAAAACTAAGCATGGAGCTCAAAACAACAATGGACAGTGTGATGGCTACAATTGATTTAAGCCTCCAGCACCGCTTATTCCACATGCTGCTCTCAGAAATGTCTGCTGAGCACCGTGACCTGTTATTGCACAATGATCTCAGGTGGCTGTCCAAAGGCAGTGCACTGGAGCATTTCTGTGATCTCAAAGAGGAGATCACAACTTTCCTCTGCAACAGCAGGCAAAAAAAAAAGCAGAAACACATTTGAACTGCATGAGGACAACAGCTTTATGGCCAGTGTCTGCTTTCTGAGCGACATATTCAAAACATGAATGACCTTAATGTGGGACTACAAGGCAGAGGCAAAACTGACACTGAGCTTGTGGAACAGATGTATGCACTCCAAGCCAGGCTGAACCTTTCACCACCGACTTGAGCACAGGCCGGTTGCTGCATTTTCCAGGGCTCTGTAAAAGCATCTCATCTGCGGCACAAGTCATGGATGTGATGACTGATTTCACTGCGAGGTTGAAAGAGAAGTTTTCTGGTCGATTGGATGGACTTGCTCTACGCAGAAAGGTGATGAGTTTTGCCAGAGACCCATTTAGTGTTTTAACAGAAGGGGACTTATCCGTCAGAGCAAAGGAAGTGATCCCTTCCACTGACGAGGGGAAGAAGACGTTTTGCACCAACGGATCTTTGGACCAATGTCAATACATACCAGTTCCCTAACATTAAGAAAGTATCAGTCGTAACCTTCAGTATGTAGGGGTCAATGTCCACATGTGAAGCTTTTTGCACATGAATTCAAGAAAAAGCAGCTGTCGTTGCTCACTGACAACAAACTTCACTATTGCCTTCAAAGGTGCACTGACACTTACGAGCCAAACGTTGCCGCTCTTGTTCAGAAACAAATGTCAGGTTAGTGTAGACTTGTGTACTGTTGATTTAAAACAAACCTGCATTCCCTCAGTGTGCAGCAGTAAATGTTGTATTCATATGTGTTACTGCTATGGGTTTGTGCACTGATAGCTTTGATAGGATTGATTGTTCTTTTTGAATTCTGTTAAATGGAATTTAAGATGTGTCTGGGTCACATAAGTATGAACTTTATTTTGAAAGGGAATTGTCCAAATATTTTTTATTTTTTAATTTCAAATGTGAATAAAAAAAGTATTGCTACTAGCGCAGGCTCTCTTCAGCTATAGCTCATTTATATGTTTTTTCGTGTGCATGTGTGAAATGTCACAAGATTTAAAAGGGAAAAAATAATAAACAACTTTTTTTCAATACATTTGTGTTGGTTTGAAACTTATCGTGATCTGCTGCTGACTGGCTGCTAAACAATATCTGGCCCAGATATATTCCTTGGTTTTAAAATCTGGCCCAACTAACTTTATAGCCGTGGTGTACCCTGTTGTGCCAGGAGGATTGCCGTGATTTACACACTGTGGGAAACCAAAAAACACCTGGATCCATTTCAGTTCGTATACCCGTCAAACTGCTTGACCGATAATGCATTTTCAACTGCCCTTCACTCAGCCCTCACACAGCTGGACACGAGAGACTCATGTATCAGAATGCTGTTCATAGACTTCAGTTCAACATTCAACAAGATCATTCCACAGGAGCTCAGACATGAACTGGATCAGCTGGGGATCAGCACCTCACTGTGTAACTGGTTTCTGGATTCCCTGACAGGAAGAGGCGATCGTGGCTCAAGAGTTGGGTGTTCGTCTTGTAATCGGAAGATTGCCCCGGCTCGGACAGTCTTGGTCGTTGTGTCCTTGGGCAAGACACTTCACCTACCGCCTACTGGTGTTGGCCAGAAGGGCCGATGGCTCGATATGGCAGCCTCGCTTCTGTCAGTCTGCCCCAGGGCAGCTGTGGCTACAGCCTCCACCAGCGTGTGAATGTGAGAGTGAATGAATAGTGGCATTGTAAAGCGCTTTGAGGGGTCCCGAAAAGCGCTTTATAAATGCAATCTATTATTATTATTATTATTATTATTATTATTATTATTATTATTATTATTATTATTATTATTATGACAGCAGGCAGTACGGGTCAGCAGCAACACCTCCAGCATACGAACGCTGAATACGGGTAATGGAATACATCCAGCAACCAAGCTGCTCTCAGCGTCAAAGACTCCAACCTAAAGAAACACTTCAGTGTCTTCGATGTACTATTGCTGTGTGATTTATTACTATTAATGAAGCTCTGAAAGAAGACAGAAAGAAAACATATTACTAATAAAGGAATAATTTTCTATACAAGATCACTGCAAAAAGTGCAGCCTCACCTAATGTCCCCCCTACTGTTGCTCATTTTATATTAAGATTTAGAAATCTAGTTGGTGTTACTTTCAGAACTGCTCGTGATCACTTGCAGCTAGCAGGTTGTTAATGCTGTCCATCAAGTCTAACAGTCTGCAGTCTATGAACTAACCAATGGTAGCTCGGTGGCGAGTAGCCTTCAAATTTAAATTCAAAATGTATTTGTGTAGCACATTTAAAAACAACAGAGTTGACCGAAGTGCTTCACAATCGGCTAAAAACAAGAGAAAACAACAGAGAAACACAGATAAACAAGAAGACAGTGAATTAACAATACAAACATAAAACAGGCCTGATGGTACTCATACTGAACCAAATTAAAAGCCAAAGTAAAGACGTGAGTTTTAAGACGCAATTTAAAAGACTGAATAGACTCTACAGTACGAATCTCCTCTGGCAGATTCTTCCAGAGTCTGGGCGCTGCTGCTGCGAAGGCCCGATCTCAAACGAGCCCTCGGTTGTGCTAAGAGCATCTGGCTAGATGATCTCAGTGCTCTTTTGGGGTCATACATGTTGAGGAGTTTGTTTAAATAACTAGGCGCCATATTATTTAAAACTTTAAAAGTAAGTAATCTTAAAATCAACACGATATTTGACAGGGAGCCAGTGTACATCTGCTGAAACTGGAGTGATGTGTTCATACATTCTAACAGCTGTTAAAAGACGTTCAGTAATAGTAATAAATCACAGAGCAGTAGGACAAATAGCACGAGAATATATCAAATAATCACACTGAGTAACTTAACAGAATACATTACAAACTACATTTTGGGTCAATGTACTCTGTAATCTGTAGTGGAATTTTAAAAGTAACCTTCCCAACACTGCTCCCCAAGGATGTGTTGAGCCCACTTCTCTTCACTCTGCTGACCCACAACTGCACATCATCACACAGCCTCTTCATCTAATTTGAAGACAACACAACTGTGGTAGGTCACATCAGCGACAACGATGAGACCTACTACCGGCGTTAAGTTACTAAAGGAGTTAACAGTGGTTTCCCTGAATGTGGAGAAGACTAAGGAGATCATCGTAGACTTCAGGAGAGCTCACACCATGTATGCTCCACAAACCATCAATGGTGCTGCTGTGGAGAGGGCAAGCAGCACCAAGTTCCTGGGTGTGCACATCTCAGAAGGTCTCTCTTGGTCAAAGAAAACAGCCTCACTGGTCGTTTAAGCCCAACAACAACTCTACTTCCTCCACAAACTGAGAAGGAAGAGCCTCAAAATACCCGAAGTTTAAAGGCATCTTTGAGGTTCAAAGTGTGTGTGTGTGTGTGTGTGTGTGTGTGTGTGTGTGTGTGTGTGTGTGTGTGTTTGTTGTGTTTGTGATGAGTGTTGGTGTGTGTGTGTGTGTGTGTGTGTGTCTCACCGTGAGAACCTGACAGTGTATGTGTAGTCAGAGGACGTCACACTCCAGCGAAGATGTGTGGTGAAGTCCAGAGACACCCAGTGGACGTCTTGTGCTCTAGGGACTGAGTTCACATCTGTGAATAAAATAAAACATCGTCAGTATTTTCCAGTTTTCCATGACTCCTGCTTCCTGTTTTCTTTGGGTTTTTGTGTTTGTTTTTATTTTACAATAACTGAATTGAATGAAGGATCTTAATGAACCATTTATTTAAGCTGGAGAAAATGATGACAACTCCCTCAACATCTTCATACTCGTAATCAGAACCAAATTAAAGTCTGCGAGTCAGCAAAGGTGGGCACAGGTCAAAAATGAGAGTTTTACATAACAGAAAGTTATACATTTTATAAAATCATAAAGCGAATGCATCTGTTAAAAACTGTAGTGGAAGATTTTGTTTAGTTCAGCTTATTTAGAAAATCCCCACATCTGTGCACCGTCATGGAATGGTTAATGAGTACTCCATTACTAATATGTTTTATTCACAGACGCCTTTCAAAACACTCAAGTTTACGATACAAGCAATTCAATTACAAGTCACAGTATGGATCAAATAAAAGTTGGAAGATGTCGTAGAATTAAAAGTCTGTACAACAGAGTTTTCAGACTGAGAGAGAATCAATATTTCAAACATGGTGGTGGGAGAGCTAAAGATGAGGGGCAAATCGGTTCGAAGCTCTGAAGCCCAGAGGGGGTCCGATGAGCAGATGGCATAATGACAGTAAGCGAGAAGGAGGATCTCAGAGTACAGGAAGGAGAGGTGATGCGATGAATATCACATTATTACACAACGGTACGTGTTCCTACCAGACGAAGCTCAGTTTGTCACTGTTTAATTTAAGAAAATTAGCAAACAACCAATATTTAATTTTGCATAAGCAGTCAGTGAGAGCAAAACTTGATGGAAAGCTAGATGCCATCAGAGTAAGAATAAAAATGCAAAAGCAGTTTTCTTTCAAATGTGACCAGAAACCCACGGGACCATCCCACTGCTATTTTCTAAATATTCTAAATTTCTTTCAGATTCTCTGCAATATTTCAGAACATCTGTAATTGTTGGACATTTTACTGCATCATAATACCAAGCATGAAACTTTAAGTCCTGTGTAAGATGCTTAACTCTTCAGTCTGTGTTCTCTATCAGATGAAGTAGAGTCTGCTGTGTTGTAAGGACTAAACTTTGATATGTGATATGCTAAAACTGAAACGAGACATGACACTGGTGTCTAGGTAAAATGTCTAACACCAGTCGCCTCTGTCTGTCTGTCTGTCTGTCTGCCGATCATGTGCTGTGTGTTTTACCTGCAGTGGTTATGCCGAAGGCAGACAGAGAGAGTCCCAGCCAAAGCAGAGTTTTTACAGTTGCCATGTTAGTACCAGCGTGTCCTTTCTCTGTCCTGATCTGTTAGCTGAAGAGAGCAGAAGGAGCTGAAAAGGATTGGTGCCGCTTCCGTTCAGCTGCACACACAAGGGTAATGGGGTGGGGTATGCTGATCCTTCCCACATGTTTGCCTCAACATTGGGGAATGGGGGAGGAGATGTTCTGAAACAATTTGCTCAATCCGAACTGTTTTCCTTCTTATTCATCCCCTTTACGACCTTTACAGGAATTGGACTGCGATCGTGCAGTGTGCAAACTTTTGCAAAAGAATGCTTATATTTACGTTTAACCTGTCTTATCATGAAGTTCTTCTTTGTGGAAAGGAATTCGCCTGCACTCCACGGTCTGTCTGTTCAATGGTGTTTTTGTGAGTGCACGCAGTTTGATGCCATGTTGCCTTGACAACTAATAGGCTTTGTGTGAGTGGTTCAGTTTTACTAACTTCTAGGTTGCCGGGAAACTTGTTTCTTTCTAGTTTCACTCAGCAGCAATGCATACAAATACCACACAGTACAAAATAGGATGCATTATTACAATTTTTGCTCAGTCGCTTTGAAACATTTCCCAAAACACTTTTAAAGTTCTCAGCAGTGAAGAAATATTTCCATAAACAGCATGTATGAAATACACTGCAGCTCACCCAGAGCCTCAGTTCATATTTTAAAGTCACATGTTTGTGTCAGTGAAAAGGTCACTGCCAACAAAATTAAAGGTTTAGAAATGTTGTAAGAATAATTTCTCACCTTCCAATTTCACAGTCAGGTCCAAAACATTTGCTACAGTATACTTGAGCTTGAAAAAACCTGTTAGGGATGACTGGATGTTATTGCAGCAAATACTTCTCCTCACTATGGAACAGGTGAAGAACCAGCAAGTACACATGATTCAGTCCAGCTCTTGATTCATCAGGACAGAAGATTTCTTGGCAGGATGAAGGAGATCCTGCCAAGAAACATGAAATGTAGATTGTTCATTGGTAGAAATGTTAATAATGTATATTATAATTCCAACAAAGCTTCATCTTGGAATATGACTGGCAGCTGTAAGTCTGACAAAATGTCAGCATATTTAAGTGCATATAAATGCATGGTTATCATTTGATGATATTTCATCTATAAAAACATGAATTATTTAATATTTTCGGAAACTTGGGGGAAACTAAGCTATTGAAGTAACCGTGAGGAAGAACTGAGGCTTTTAGTTTGTTAAAAAACTAAAAAATATATCACTTTGTTGTTCTAATGTTGGTTGTACAAATGCAACAAAAAACAAGACATTTATGAGAACTTTTACAGACTCTACCTTCCCTTTGCTCTCCATCCATTAGTCCCTTGGGTGAGCAGAGCAGGGAAAAATGCCAAGGAATGTGGCTGTGAAGAAAACAGTCAGCTCTTTTATAGGCTTGTGGGAATTCATGCTTCCCATGATTTCACCTATTTCAGATCATCTAAAAGCCTCACTGGGAGCCAGTAACTATGTGGGAAAAGTTCAGCAGTCGCAGTCATTTCCATGAAACCTTCTGGTATCACGTAAGCACCAGAGTGACAAACGTTGGACCCTCCTCCACATGTACGCAGGAACACACACTTACTCCAAAAACCCACAAGCGTACAAAGTATTTGTCTTTTTTGGTTAGTTTTACTCCAGGATTGTTTTGTGCATTTCACTTTGTCCAGGAAACGATGATGATGTGGATTAAATACTGGAAACAGCTTTACGTGGTAAAGCATGTGTCGTTTCTTCTAGGATTTCCTGCGTTAAAGTGTCTGAGTATCTGCTTTGCTTCTTCTCAGCACTGGTTAATAAACAAAGCATTGCTGTAAACAATGAGAGCCCGGACACATGTTTCTGATCACTGCAGCACCAACACCAGCGCACACATGCAACACGAAATCAGTGTGATGGTGCAGCCAGTCTTGTAAAATTCACTGCTCAACAACCAAGTCAGTGTTTACATCAAGTAAACATAGTGACAGGTCCAAAAGTAGTTGTTTTTCCTTTTTTAAGTGCAGTTTAACAGTAAATGAAGGGTTTAACAAAAGTATTGCATTAACCTTTAAAGAATGAAAACCATTTCTATGCGCAGTTCTCCATTTTCAGAGGCTAAAATGCACCATTAACTGGAAAGTATTTTCCTGGTGTGGTGAGGCCTGCTTCCTCATTACTTCATAACAAATAAAGCAAACAAAACATATGCAGTTGATTCCAACTCTGGAATTTGCATCTGGTAACTTTTAAGGCTTTTAATTCTCAATGAGGCCCAGCGAAGACGAAGAGGCCAAAAACCCTAAACAAACTATCAGACAGAGCAAAACCTCTACGTACGTACGTACATTGTTAAACGAAGGAATACTTTGGTAAACACAGCAACACTGTCTCTGGTGGGCTCTACAGCCCACAACATACACTGAGCTCTCAGTCTATTCAATGCAGATTTTGTAAACAGAAAAACTACTGTAGAAAAGTGTCTCCAAAGCCTGCCTGCGTAGTCGCAGTGATGCTGTTCTTCTCTTTTTAGAATAATAAACATCCACCCAAGCAAACTCTGAAAATCACCACTAATCCCTTCTGTGCTGTACTCAGCCAAGTGCTGTCCTGAGAGCTTTAAGTGGTGCCTTTGTAGACATAAGACAGAAAGGCTTGACTAACAAAGTGTAATATTTCAGCAGCGTCCTCCCTATGCTGGAATGTTGAAATCTAATGAGTGATAGTCATGTAAGGAATGCCAGTTTCACGGAAGGAGTCAGCATGGTGTTCACAAGGTTGCAAGGAAATTTAATGACTCACCCGGTCACTCTGACACATCTCACTCAAGTACCTGACTCACGTCGTAGCAGTGTACATGTCTGCCTGTGCTGTTAGTTCACACCAGGCTGCTTTACGTAGAGTGAACATTCAGGCCTCCTGCTTTGCTGTGTGGAGTCACACAGCTATGATCTCGCAGTCCTAAAATGCCTGTCAGCTGCAAAATTCAAATCCCAGCTGGTGTCTTTCTGTTTTCAAAACACGTGTACTCGTTAAATCCATGGAAAATTTTAAATAAAAGGGACAATAAATACAGCACAGTGATGAGTTTATCGCTTAACACTGGGACTGTGTCAAATTAACCAGCATGTTAGCTGCTGCTGCTGCTGCTTCACCAACAGTAGAACCAGCAGTGTTGGGCAAGTTGTTTGGAAAAGTAATTAATTATAGATACTAATTACTTCTTCTTCAAAAAAGTAACTGAGTTAATAACTAAATTACAAGATTCTAAAAGTAATTAATTACTACGAAAAGTAACTATTGTGTTACTTAAAAAAGTTGTTTAACCCTCTGGGGTCCAGGGTATAATTGCCCATTTTTAACTACTTCTGATGTTTCCTCTACATTTCACCTTTAAAACGATTTTCTTTGCCTTGTTTCGTATTGTGGCGGACCACCAGGTGGCTCCACTCACACCCAAGTTGAAGGGAAGTGTTGGGGTGGAGATTTTGGCGCTTACTATATGTGAAGTTCTGAGAGTCAGTTAATAAAGTTGGAGTGAGACACTGAGACCTCTCCTGTCGTTATTACATACCTCCACAGTATCATCCTTTTCAGCACAACCTCACGTGTCTGAATTTACAGTCATGTTTTCATTTGACTACAGTATTAACACAACTGATTTAAAATCAGACAAAAAACATAAAATCCAAGTAGAAAAGCTTATTTTTACTGTAACAACCACAAACATGTTTAATGAATCGTATTTCATAACTTTAAATGTAACTATAGTTTGTAAATTTTAAAATCCTGTCAATGTCAGCGAGGCAGACCGTGGGGAAGTGGGGAAGGACCCAAACGCTGGACTCTGTGCAGTGAACAGTTTATTTACAGTGCAGAAAAGGACAATAAATCCACATGTGCTCCCAGAAATCAGTGTCTTTGCACTCCCTGTGCTCGGTGCCCTCCTGTTTCCACGCTCCTCATGGAGTCTTCGCTCCCCCGATGAACCTCATCCGCAGCAGGTGAGTGGCATGGTCTTCATGTGTGGCCAGCTCTCCTGCAGGGCCACACCCACCAGGCCTACGGGTGCCTGTCACCCAGCCTACAGGAAACAGCCACACCTGCAGACACACACGCACACATGCCTGCGTATACATACAAATGTGGAACACAGAATGGCAGCACAGTGCAGCAAAAATACAAATAATAATAATAATAACAATAATAATGAGAGTCCACACTGCTCAAGGACCCTGGGTCACTCAGACCCACCTGACCTGCAGGTCAGTGGCCACTCTTTCAGTGATGAGGATATGCACATCCTGGACCGGGAGGAACGCTGGTTTGAGCAGGAAGTCAAGGAGGCCATTTACATGACACCGGAAAGGCCACCTTTAATTTGAGGAGGGGGGCTAAGGGTACATCTGTCACATCTGTCACCATCAATGACCATGAATGGCACTCATGGTCATTGATCAATGGTCTCTGATCAGTGGTTTTTGATCAATGGTTATGACAAGTTGCATGTTGGTGATCAAGAAACTGATCTCACAGTCCATTGTTCGCTAGTGGTGCTAGTTTGTGCAACTTTTATTGGGCGAAGCAGGGCTTTGTGCAAGGGCGCTGCTAGGATCATCTCAGTGGAAGGGGTTACATGAAGAGGACATGGAAGCTATGGAAACATGGAACCTGTGATGCCCAACTTCTAGACTAACTGCAAAACAACTAGTAACTCAGTGTTCCACCATTTAGAAGGCGCATCTGCTATCACAAGTGGAGCTCAATGAGGTACAACACAAATGCTGACTGTGGAGAGCTGCCATGGCAAACTGAAAAGAGACGTAAAATGAAAAAACCCACCAGGATTTCCATAAAGGCCATTTTGGAATCAGTAATCAAATATTGATCACAAATATACAGAAAATTATTGATTTATCTTTCAGTTAAATATGAATGTGTTCCTTAACTGTGAGGAGTTAAGATGTGGTTTGATTTACATCTTTCATGTACCCAGCACGTTTGTCATGGCCTCCAGCTAAATATTGGTGTAATCTCAGGGGAAATAGCTTATTGTAGGGATTCTGTGAGAAAGATTGCTAGCTCTAATATTAATAGCACAAAATCCAAGGACACACTGACAGCTCGGATTT